GCCGCATGGCGAGCCGGGGCGCCGGCCAGGCCGTTCCCGGCGCACGGCTGCCAGGCTTCCTATTCTTTTTTAAAATTTATCAATGAATAAGTGCTCGTGTACATGAAAGGAGAGGAGGGTGGGAACACAAACACCCTCCAAAGTGGCTGGGCTTTCCAAAATCCCCTTCCTCTCATCAGATCTTGGACTATAATACCTGGTGGACCATAGTAGGAAACCTCATTATCCCCATTTGATTGACAGAGAAAGTCTGCAGAAATATGGGGTTAGTAGATGACATCGCAGTTACATTGGTGGACTCCCACATAGCTTACTATGGTTAAAATCCCAGACCTGGTGGCTTGAAAATAACTCCAGGCATATGTGCGTGCAGGCCCAAAATCCTGGGAGGAGAATGGAGGAGAAGAGATTGCAGCATGGCCATCTCCTCTTGGGGAGAGATTTGTCACTTTCCTTCTCACTTTCTATATCTTGTCTCTCTCTCCCCAGCGAGTGCACATACCCTAAGGCTAAAATCTAAAACAAAACAAAACAAAAAAACCCTGCATAAATAGAGTTGAACCAGTTTAGTTCTCAATTTGGCAAGCAATCATAGAACAATAGAAGTTGTATATTCTCTGTGATCACCTTTCATAAGGACCTTACATGACACAGTACATTACTCATCTTGTTACTGCTTAGCTATGATCAAGAAAGCCAGTTCCAGGGAAAAAACACCTTGGTTCAAAGGCACACTCCTACCTATCACTTATTGGCTATATGACCACAAATTTTAACCCTTACATATCAGTAAGTGATAATTATTATTTAAAAAATAAAACCCTGTGAAGTAATCAAGGCAGTTATTGTCCCTGTTTATTTAGAAGCTTGAAACTTTTAGAGGTAAGTTATTTGACCAAGCTTATAATATCTGATGGAAAATCTGTTCGATCTAGAATACAATATCCCGTCTGCTCTATTGTACTGTTTTTGCAGTCACTCCCTATTTTATCTGTACGTAATATAATAGAAGTGATCCACAGAATTTGAATTCCTTTAAAATGAGTGAGAGGTGGGACCAGCAGATGGCATAATGATTATATTGCTGGACTCCCACGTAGTCAACCACATTGTTCAAGTCCGAGATCCAGTGGCTTAAAACTCATGCCAGGTGCATGTGTGTGTGCATGCCCAAAATCCCAAGAGAAGGATGGATGAGAAAGGATTGTGGTGTGGCCATCCTTGGGGGTGGGGTGGGGTTGGGATTTCTCGCTTTCTCTGTCTCTCCAGTGAGTGCACATACCCTATAGCAAAAATCTCTCTCAAAAAAAATTTAAAAAAAGAATGAGAGGTATTTGTATCCAATATTTAGAATAGGGATCCTCAACTCTACTTTTACCAGCTCTCAAGATGTTTTGATTTTTCATAAAGATTGTTCTGAAATTTTCAAAACAAAGTTAATTTTAACTCACTTTAATACTCTAAAAATAAGTTTATCATTTATTTAGCAATTCTATAAAGGGGAGCATGTCATGAAACTAAAGTAGTTATAGGAGATGGCAGCCTCAGACATGCTGAAAATCTGTTTCAGAGCAAGGCATGTTTCTTCCCTTTTCTTGTTCAAACAATTCTGAGTAGAAGTGGTGAGAATAAGATTGATTTGTGTGTTTGCACCTGTGTTTTATATTGTATTATTTATATGAGGAAACTTGACCACATGGAAACATGAGGGTTTTTTTGTTTTTTGGTTTTTCTTTGTTTTTAAATCTATATAAATGACAATAATGTCAACACAAGTCTTCTTTAACATGTTTAGCTATACTTGTTTTATACTTTCGGATATTTGAAATAATTCTCTGTTTTTTTTAATCTTCTGACTGTTTAAGATAGCAAAAATGCAGCTGATGGGTATGATCAGGAATAATTCAAACATACCGCTTCCTCCCTGAGTTGTTATTTTTGTAAATTAAGTCACCTTTTAGGGGACCAGTAGTTAGCATAATGGCTATGTCGCTGTAGTCCCACGTAGTCGACCACGGTTCACGTCCCGGACCTGGTGGCTTAAAACTCACGCCGGGCGCGTGTGTGTGTGCCCAAGATCCCGAGAGGAGAATGGAGGAGGAGGGATTGCGGCATGGCCATCCCCCCTTGGGGGGTGATTTCTCCCTTTCTGTCTCTCTGTCTCTCTCTGTCTGGCGAGCGCAGGTGCCCTATAGCAAAAACGTCTCAAAAAAAAAAAAAAAAACAAGCCACCTTTTAGTACCATGTGTGTTCTGAGATCTAAATATTTGCAAAGTGCTTCTATTTGACCTCAGACTAAAGAAACACTAAACTTCTTCATGCCCAGAGTTATTATTTTGCATTAAGTTTGTGGCCCACTTACTTCAAGTATCCCTCAGTAGTACTTACACTTTATACTTTTCTTCAAAAAGAGAAAGGACAAGTCTCTTCTACTTTCCTTATTTTGAAAAGTTCAGTGAAATTCCTCTATTAAATTCCTCTTAGATTTAAAGCTTCTATTTCTATCCCATAACTGATTTGTTTGGAAGTTACTTGTCCTATTTCTGCTTGTTGTAAACTGACAACTACTCCAGAATAATCTGTCTTGTCATTATTGCTGCCTCATTTCTTCAAATTGGAAGACTTATTCCTAGAACTCAGTGTTGATACACTGTACACTAAGCAAACAGTAGTCAAGCCCAAACTGAAATGCTCATAGATCTTCTGTGTGGTTTTATTTCATGTAGTTTTTTTTTCCTCCTACCAGTTTCTCTGCCATTTATTTCATATTCATTCAACACATTTTGTGTTAAAAAAATTAAACCTTTATCCTTGATTTATTATTCCCTATCACGCCCATTAACCCATACCTTTTATCTGATGTCTTTTTCTATTTTTTTTTTCTTTCTAGATTTAGTGGCTGTTTTGTGTCCAAAAGGTCCACTTCGTATGTTGGTTGAAACAGCACAGGAGAGAAATGAAACTCTCTTTCCAGCCCTCATTTATTCCTGTAAGTATTCAAAAATGATACTGAATTAATCATCGAAATTCATGGGGACTCGAACACAAATAGTTATGGTCATTATTATGTAACTTTTTCTCATCTTAAAAGAATTATTTTATTTAACTTTATTTATTTATTTTAATTTGACCAGAGAGAGACAGAGAGAGGAAAAGTGAGAAAGCAAGCCGCTAGGACCAGGATTCGAACTGCATCGGACATGTGGGAGTGCAGTGCCCTTAACTACCACACTACCTGCTGGCCCCGTTTTTCTCATCTTAAGTACATAACATTAATGGAACTCCTGCAGGTTTCCATTTCCTTGCCTTCTACCTTACATTTATTCAAAAGTTTTTAGTATGAGTGGAGGAGAGACAATACTTAGAGATTGGAAAGCTAGTTTTCCCATTTAAAATCTTGTTAGTCAAGAATTATTGGGGCCTGGGACCAGCTGTTGGCATAATGGCTGTGTCACTGGACTCCCATGTTGTGGACCGTGGTTTGAGTCCTGGACCCGGTGGCTTAAACTCATGCTGGGCGCATGTGCGTGCGTGCCCAAGATCCCGAGAGGAGAATGGAGGAGAAGGGATTGCGGTGTGGCCATCCCCCCAGGGGGTGATTTCTCGCTTTCTGTCTCTCTGTCTCTGTCTGTCTGGCAATCGCATGCACCCTATAGCAAAAACCTCTCCAAAAGAAAAAAAAAGTTATTGGGGCCAGCAAGTGACATAGTGGTTATGGTGCTGGACTCAAAAGATCGACCATAGTTTGAGTTCTGGACCTCGCACCTCAAAACTCACTCTGGGTGGGCTGTCAGGGCACTGGATTCCCATATGGCTGACCGTGGTTCAAGTCCCAGACCTGGTGGTTTGCTTTCTCACTTTCTCTCTCACTCTGGACGAGAAGGGATTGCGGCGTGGCCATCCCCCCAGGGGGTGATTTCTCACTTTCTGTCTTTCTGGCGAGCGCACGTGCCCTATAGCAAAAAACTCTAAAGAAAAAGAAAAAGAAAAAAAGAAAATTTCAAAAGTGAGACATAAGATGAAGGAAATGTATTCTATGTATCTTGAGAATTATAATCATCATTTGAAGCTTTCATGAAGCCCAGTTTGTCTTTGAATTTAATTCCAGTAAGCAACTTCCATCAGTGAGTTCATACTATTTTAGGACATTTGACTAGTTCATCCCTTGTTCCAGTGGATTCTTGCTGCCTGCGCAGTTTTTCTTCTGGCTACTTTTCAGAGACTGTGAGTATTGAATAGTTTTGTAATAGCAGCTGCACTTTGAGCACTGCAGTAAACACTCAGTTTTAGAATTTTTTATCTTTTTTTTTTTTTCAGTCTGCTACAGGGTGCGTGCATTCTCCAGAAAGAGACAGAGAGAGAGGGGAGAGAGAAAGTGAGAAGTCATCCCCAAGTGGGGAAGGCCACATCACCATTCCTTCTCCTCCTCTCCTCTTGGAATTTTAGGCATGTACACACACATGCCAGTTGCGCTTTTCAAGCTGCCAGGTCTGCGACTCGAACCACAAATTCAGCCACCTTAACCACTAGCTACCAGCAAGCTCTCATATCTTCTAAAACCAAGGAGAGTCTTTTATGGTTCTTCATATACATTTACGTCTGATTGTCAAGGATTCTTAAGGCACCATTATGAAGGTTGATGATTTGTACAGAGAAATAATGGCCTGCTGTCTATTCAGGTACTTTCCTTCTGTATTTTCATTGCTCATGTGGAATGTTGTCTTTCTCAACAGCAACAATGGTGTGGTTGGTGAATATGGCAGAAGGAGACCCAGAAGCCCAAAGAAGAGTATCCAAAAGCTCCAAGTATAATACACAAAGTAGGTGACTTTTATTTGATAAAATCCTGGTTTTGGGGATCATTGTCATTTTACAGGCTAATGTTGAGTTATGAGATAATTATTTTAACCTCCTTCTGTGATTCTAGACACTTATGAGCATTTCCTGGAAGCTGTGATAATACCCAGTAACTACATAGATACCCTAGACCCAAACAGTACAGTCAAGGCACTTCAGGTTAAGAGTTCTGCCATATGGGGACCAGCAGTTGGCATAATGGCTATGTCGCTGGACTCCATGTAGTCGACCGCAGTTCAAGTCCTGGACCCGGTGGCTTAAACTCACGCCAGGCGCATGTACGTGCGTACCCAAGATCCCTAGAGAAAAATGGAGAAGGGATTGCAGGGTGACCATCCCCCCAGGGGATGATTCCTCGTTTTCTATCTCTCTGTCTCTTCTCTGTCTCTCTGGTGACCACACGCGCCCTATAGCAAAAACCTCTCCATCCCCCTCCCCAGATAAAAGAGTTCTGCCATGTGGCCAGCAGGTGGTGTGACTGAAGTCCCAGACCTGATGGCACGCGCGCGTGCGCACGCGGTCTCTCTCTCTCTCCCCCTCTGATCAAATTAAAATATAAATAAATAAATAAATATAAAATAAAATTTAAAAATAAAATAATAAGATAAATAAATGATTATTTTTGGTGGGGAGAGGTTTTTGCTATAGGGCACATGCGCTCACTAGAAAGACAGAGACAGAAAGCGAGAAATCACCCCCCAGGGAGGATGGTCACGCCACAATCCCTTCTCCTCCATTCTCCTCTCGGGATCTTGGGCATGCACGCACACGCGCCAGGCGTGAGTTTTAAGCCACCGGGTCTGGGACGCGAACCGCGGTCGACTACGTGGGAGTCCAGCGACATAGCTATTACGCTAACTGCTGGTTCCCAGGTGGATCATAATGATTACTTAGGGTGGGAGAGCAAAAGGCTTGCTGTAAATACTTCAGAAGATACTAAGGAGAACACAGGCTGAAAGTTTAATTTTAAAAAGGGCTGAAAGTTTAATTTTAAAAAGGGCTAACTGTATATAGCACAGCAGTTAAGCTCTGTGCAAAGGAAGCTGGATCCCACCATGGCTGACCAGGGTTAGGGTGGCCCCAGAGGCTTAAACGCTATAATAGGTGCACGCACCTGCCCAGGAAGCTAATAGTATAGAAAATTGGAGGAAGGGAGATTGCAGCATGACCAGGTCCCACTGAGGTGTTGTTCTCTCTTTCTCTTTTTTTCATTAAAAGAAAAGAGAAATAGAGTTGAAGAAAGCCTGGTGTGATAGTATACCTCTGTTATCTCAGGTACTATGGCCCCTGAGGCCAGCCTGGGAACATAGCAATGCTCTGGGGGACAAAAAAAAAAGAGAAAGAGTTGAGAAATAACAGCTCAATATAAATAGTGAAGAAAGAAGGAATTTTTTTTTTTTAAGTTTTTTTTGCTATAGGGCACAAGTGTGCTCACCAGAGAGGGAGAAAGTGAGCAATCATTGCACAAGGGAGATGAGTCCTGGACCACGCCACAATCCCTTCTCTTCTCCTCTCCTTGGGATTTTGAACATTCACGTACATGCACCTGGCATGTTTTCCAAACTGCCAGGTCCAGGACTCAACTGTGCAGACATGTGGAATCCAGCCACCTTAACCCCACACTACCTGGCTAGGCTTCTTCTTTTCTTTTCTTTTCTTTTCTTTTCTTTTCTTTTTCTTTTTTCTTTTCTTTTCTTTTCTTTTTTTTCCCCTGCCCTGCCCTGCCCTGCCCTGCCCTTCCTCTTTCCTTCTTTCTTTCTTTCTTTCTTTCTTTCTTTCTTTCTTTCTTTCTTTCTTTCTTTCTTTCTTTCTTTCAGACAAATAGAAGGCTAATAAACTTATGAGGAAGCTGAAAAAGAGGCAAAATAAATATTGGTGAAAGAAAAAGAAGCTTTAACTGGGCTAGCTCTGTGTTCTGGTAGTTAAGGCAACCAGATTTCACATGACTGACACTTTGGTTCAAGTCCAGGACCTGGGAGCTTGAGAAACATGTTGGGTACTTGTGTATGACCAAACCCCAAAAGAAAAGATAGGAGAGAAGGGATATAGTGTGACCATTCCGCATGGAATGGTCAGGTTGCTTTCCTTTCTGTCTCTGGCAAGCACACATACCCTCTAGCACAGAAAGGGGGGAGGAGCCTTAATTCAGTTGCAGTCTGTTGGGAAAGAGAGAATTTAGGTAGTATAGAGTATGATAATTTGGCATTTAAGTAGCTGAAGTGGATACTGTACTTTGAACTGGGAATTCATATTTGGGACCCAGTGATATCAGACTCTGTTCTGTGATGAGCAGGGTAGCAGAACAAAGTGGTGTTAGTGGAAGTAGGAAGTGTGTTGGAAACACTCACTGCAAACCTAGTTAGTGCATTAAAGAAAATGAAAAGCTAATTATCTGTGAATATCATACCTGTGTCTGAGTGTATATTTGATACATCAAGATTCTCTTTTTTGTTAAGAATTATTTTTATTTAATTTTATTCATTGTTATTATTTTATTTTTTTGAAGTTGACCAGAGAGAGAGAGAAGGAAAGTGAGAAAGCAAGCTGCCAGGACTGGGACTTGAACCATGTGGGAGTCCAGCTGCCTTACCTCCACACTACCTGCTGGGCCCCTTCATCAAGATTTTCTTTTAGGGAATAGCAGTTGGTGTAATGACCATGTCGCTGGACTCCCCTGTAGTTGACCGTGGTTTGAGTCCCAGCCCCAGTGTCTTAAAACTCACACCAGGCGCATGTGCGTGCGTGCCCAAATCCCAAGAGGAGAATGGATGAGAAGGGATTTCAGTCTTGCCAGCTCTCCTGGGGGGTGATTTCTCGCTTTCTGTCTCTCTGTCTCTGTCTTTCTGACGAGCGCATGCACCCTATAGCAAAAACCTTTCAAAAAATTTTTTTTTTCTTTTGACAAATCTCTATTGTGTACTTAATCATGTGCCTTTTCTAGCCACTAGGAACATAGTCCTGACCAAGCCATCCCTTCCCTTGTGGAGCTTATGATCTGTTGGAGGAAATAGACATTCAACAAATAATTGCATGAATAGTTGTGATAAGTTCTGTAAAGACGTCTGAGTTGCTGTGAAAGTTTATAGTAGGGGAATTTAATTTATTCTGGACAGTCAAGGAAAGCTTCCCAGAGAAAGTAATAATAGGTGATAGGTAGCTAAAGAGTGAAAAAAGCTTTTCAGAAAAGGAACAGCATGGGCAGGGGCTCTGAAGAGAGGGAGCTGGCTGAACTGCAGAGTTCCTCAGTGGGAGTACTATTGGTATTTTCATGTGGGACTTGCCTTTATGTTGCAGTATATTTAGTATCCCTAACTCTTCATCACTAAATGCCAGTAGTGTCTTTGAGGCATTGCAATAACCCCAAATCTTTTTATCTGAGTATCCGAAAGCACCCTCTGGAAGGCTACCCTTAGTTGAAAAACCACTGTGTTAGGGACCAGTAGATGGCATAATGGTTACGTCACTAGACTCCCACATGTTGAACACAGTTCGAGGCCTAGACCCGGTGGCTTAAAACACACCAGCACGTGTTCATGTGTGCCCAAAATCCTAAGAGGAGAAGGGATTACAACGTGGCCATCCCCCCCGGATGATTTCTTGCTTTTTGTCTCTCTGTAAGTCCATGTGCCCTGTAGTAAAAATTTATCTAAAAGAAAAGAAAACCACCATGTTAGAGAAATCAAAAGTTAGATTGGAACAAAGGGACATAAAACCTCAAGAGGGATGTGTGTGCAAAGAAAAAAAATGATAGAACCGAGAGGTTACCCAAGGATAAATTAGTTATAGGTAACACATAAAAATTAGTCAAGGGGGGAACAGCAGTTAGCATAATGGCTATATCGCTGGACTCGCATGTAGTCGACCGCGGTTCACGTCCCAGACCCGGTAGCTTAAAACTCACGCCGGGCACATGTGCGTGCGTGCCCAAGATCCCAAGAGGAGAATGGAGGAGAAGGGATTGCGGCGTGGCCATCCCCCATGGGGGGTGATTTCTCGCTTTCTGTCTTTCCAGCGAGCGCATGCACCCTATAGCAAAAAAAAAAAAAAAAAAAAAAAAAAACTTTAAAAAAAAAAAAGAAAAGGACTGGTCCTGTGGTCTCATGGTTAAGGGAGCCAGATCCCACATGGCCCACTGTGCAATTTGAATCCCACCCCTGGTGGCTTGAAAAACACATTGGGCACTTATGCATATGTGCCCCAAATTCTGACAGGTTGGAGAGAGAGAGAGGAGAAATAATCGTGTAAACCACAGCCCATTGTAGGGGATGTTTTCTCCATCTTCCTCTGTCTGTAGCTCTCTGGCAGGCACATGTTCCCTTTGGCAAGTTAAAAAAAAAAAAAAAAAAAAAAGCCAAGAAACAGCTAAAAGAGTTGAAAGTTGGGGGCCAGCAGGTAATGTAGTGGTTTAAGGCCACTCATCTTCCACATGGCCAACTGTGTTTCAAGTCCCAGACCCTGTGACTTAACTCATGCAGGGCGCATGTGCATGCCCAAACTTCCATGGGAATGGAGGAGAAGGCATTACACGGTGGCTATATCCCCTAGGGGGTGATTTCTCACTTTCTGTCTCTCTGTCTCTCCAGTGAGCGCACATGCCCTGTAGCAAAAATATCTCTCTCAAAAACAAACAAGCAAACAAAAAGAGTTGCTTATCATTTTCAGTCAGATGGCAGTCATGATCATGAAAGGACAGGCTTGGAAAGAAGTTCATTCTCTCCGTCTCCTAATCCTGTCCCTGAAGCCAGTGGAGAGTGCCATCAGTCAGGAAGCTTTTAACCAGAAAATCCCAATCCTGTTGGTTTAAGCAAAGAAGAAATGTATTCTTGTGTGTGACAAGAAGTCCTGAGATATAGACATATGTGAGTTTGGTTGATTTTGTGGTTCACTAATGTCAAGGGCCCAGGTTCTTTCTGTCATCCCACTTGGCCATTTTTGCATTTAGGCTTGGCCCCTAGTGTCCTCTTTCTCATGGTCAGGATAACTGCTGTTCCAGGCATCCATCCAGACAGACAGACAGCATCCAGTGGCAAGAAAGCCATGTTAGTTTTTTCCTTGAGTCTCTCTTAAAGAGTGAGAAAAATGTTCCCAAAATTCCAAGCAGAGTTGGCCCCACCACTCATTAGGAGGCACCCAGTCACAACCCCACAGTCTTAGAGCTTTCACCGGGAAGAGGAATGGTGGGGTTTTCATACTTGGCTTGGATTGATCAGAATTTACCGTAAGAGTCCTGTGGCCAAGGAGTGGAAGCCCAAAGAAATAAGGATCCTGCCCTTAGGAAATAAGGGTGAAGATGATTCTTACATACACAACCAAGAGGCATTGCGATAGCCCTTACTTTATGGTTTAAGAGCCAGCTAATGTGGCTGCAGTGACAGGTATTTATTGTCTCCATGTAATTTTTTTAAAGATGTTAAGACATTTTCCTAAATATATCTATAATTTCCACTTTCTCTTAAAGGCACAGAAAGGGAGCCACAAGATGCTGTTGCAGAGAATGATGACGGTGGCTTCAGTGAAGAGTGGGAAGCCCAGAGGGACAGTCATCTAGGGCCCCATCGCTCTACAGCTGAGTCACGAGCTGCTGTCCAGGAACTTTCCAGCAGCATCCTAGCCAGTGAAGATCCAGAGGAAAGTATGTGCATTTCTCTACATTGCCAAATCATGACTCCTTTAAGTAATGGCATTATTCACTCCTTTAAGAATAAAATGAAATGAGAGCACTATAGTCTGATTCTACATGACAGCATCCGTTTTAATGAAAAAATACCAGCAATAGTTGGTGCTTTTGTTGTAGCTAAGTTTATTAATAGGCCAAATTCTCTCCTAAAGAGTTTTTAAATTGGCTCTACTGACTGGTCTTTTAGCTTTTATTTAATATAATGAAGTTATTTCAGTAAGACTTCATAGTAGGTCCAGGACTCAGACTGCAGTAGGCCATGTGGGAGTCCAGTCTTAACCACCACACCAACTGCTGGTCTCCTCAAAACAATTTTGAAGAAGAAGAAAGTCAGTGGACCTACACTATCTGATTTCAAAACCCACTCTACTCTACTCTACTCTCTGGGGCACTCAGGCACACATGCCCAGTGTGAGTTTCAAGCTGCAGGGTCTGGGACTCGAATTGCGATCAGCCGCATGGGAGTCCAGCACCTTAAGCACTACATCACCTGCTGGCCCCAATCCAAATTCTTTATACTGGTGCACGAGACCTTACATGACCTGTCCCTTGCTTGCTTCCTACCACTTTCCCCTTGCTTGCTGCACTCTAGGCCTGCTTTCTTTGTTGTGGAGTAAAGTATAAGCATATGCAGTATCAAAGATAAACCTCAAAAGTATATTAAGTGAAAGAAACCAGTCACAAAAGACTTCATACTGTATGAATGCATTTATATGAAATGTTCAGAAGAGGAAAATTTATAGAGATTAAAAGGCAGGTTGGTGGTTGCTGAAGGCCTAGAATGGGAGAGGATTAACTATAAATAGGTACAGAGTATTTTATTGCAGTGATAGAAATGTGGATCGATATTACGGTTGTACAACTATCAGTTTTACTTACAGTGAGTGAATTTTGTGAGAGAAATTATACTTCAGTAGAGCTGTTTTCAAAAATGAAAATAAAAGGGCCAGCTCTATAATGCAGCAGTAACACACTGCCCAAGAGATACTGGATCCTATGCGGTTACCAAGACCTGATTAGCCTGAAACATGCTAGGCACACGTACAAGCGCCAAGGATCCTATGAGCTAGAGGGGAGGACTGGATGAAGGAGATCATGGCATGACCAGTTCCTGTGGAAAGAGAGGGGTTAGGCAGGAGGCATGGTGGTTAAGGTGCTGGACTCCCATGTGGCCTACTGTGGTTTGAGTATTGGACCTGGTAGCCTGCTTTCTCACTTTCCCTTTCTCTCTCTCTCTCTCTCTCACTTTGGTCAAATTAAAGACATAATAACAAGGGGCCAGCAAGTGGCATGGTGGTTAAGGTGTTGGACTCCCACATGGCTGACCATGGTTTAAGTCCTGGACCTAGCAACCTGCTTTCTCACTTTCTCTTTCTCTCTCCCACTCTGTTCTCTGGTCATATTTAAATAAATGAATAAAATAAATAAAGTTAAATAAAATAATTCTTTTTAAAAATAACAAACAAATAATTTTAAAATGAGATGCAGGGAACCAGCAGTTAGCGTAATGGCTATGTCGCTGGACTCCCACGTAGTCGACCGCGGTTCGCATCCTGGACCCGGTGGCTTAAAACTCACGCCGGGCACGTGTGCGTGCGTGCCCAAAATCCCAAGAGGAGAATAGAGGAGAAGGGATTGCGGCGTGACCATCCCCCCCGGGGGGTGATTTCTCGCTTTCTGTCTCTATGTCTCTCTCTGTCTGTCTGGCGAGCGCACGCGCCCTATAGTGAAAAACCTCTCCAAAAAAAAAAAAAAAATGAGATGCAGAAAGGGAGAAGGGAAAGGGGAAGAGAAGAGAAGAGAAAGATGACTCCTGTCTCCTAGGGGTTTCTTGTGAGGATTTATTCATACCAGTGTGGGGCATTCAGTACATGATAATTACTATTGTTGTTTTATTGATATACAGCAGCATCTACTGTTAGTCATGTCGAATCTGAAATGCCTACTGTAAAAAAAAAAAAAAAAAAACCTAGCTAAAACTAATTTTTTTTTAAATTACTGATCTGAAAAGCCTACTGTAAAAAAAAAAAAAAAAAAAACCTAGCTAAAGCTAATTTTTATGTAAATTACTGACTTCTCATTCATTACCAGGTGGGGTAAGGCAGTGATATTTTTGAATTGTGAAATCATAGCAGAGTGACAAACTTTTAAATATTTACCAACTTTCCTTTTTAGGGGGAGTAAAACTTGGCTTGGGAGATTTCATCTTCTACAGTGTTCTAGTTGGAAAAGCCTCAGCAACAGCCAGTGGAGACTGGAACACTACCATCGCCTGTTTCGTAGCCATATTAATTGTAAGTATATGCTAATAAAGACATACTGGAACTCCTGGTTTCTGAACTTTGCTTATGCTGTCCTTTGAAGCAGTTCCTTTCCTTTCTTTTCTTTTCTTTTTTTTTTAAGTGGAAAGATTTGTTTTCTTTCTTTTTTTTTTTTTTTTTTTTTTTTTTGTGTTTTTTTTTTTTGGGGGTTTTTCTGAGACAGAGAGACAGAAAGCGAGAAATCACTCCCTGGGAGGATGGCCACGCCACAATCCCTTCTCCTCCTTTCTCCTCTTGGGATCTTGGGCATGCACGCACATGCCCCCAGCATGAGTTTAAGCCACCGGGTCTGGGATGCGAACCACGGTTGACTACGTGGGAGTCTAGCAACATAGCCATTACGCTAACTGCTGGTCCCCCAATTTGTTTTATTTCTACTGGGGAAAGAGGAGGACAAATAGAACTGTTTTCCAATTTGCTTTCCACTGTATACACACATACTCACACACATACATACACATATATTCACCAAAAATAACCCAACAACAACAAAAAAAATCGAAAACCAGAACACCCTGGAGCTGCACCAATACTTCATATTTTGACCAAAAGAATAGATCCTGGGAGGAAGTGAAAAATGCAAAAATCAAATGACCAAAAAATGCTGAACAAACAGCATTATTAATGTACAAAATATTATATTACTGAACTAGTAACAGGTGATGTTCTTCGTGTCTGTAAAACTTTGGAACCACATAACTATTTGTTAAATCTAGTCCATGCCAGCTTCCAAAACCAGAAAAAGTTTTAGTTAGCTTCGTTCTTTGATGCCTCATCAAAGCTTTCTACAAGATCTGGAACATCGTCATCCTCTTCATCGATGTCTTCTGGTTTTGGTGCTTTGCTATCCAAGACTTGCCATGGGGACTGTTCAGCTTATTTCCTAAGGCTTGTTAAACGGTCTGCACCAAGCTGACTTAATATTCCAGGAAGCATTTCTCTGATTGGTTTGGCTTCTGCATGACCAGTAATTGCAAAGGTATGAGCAGAGAGGGAAGCTTGGACTTTGGGATTATTGAAATGAATAACTGTCCCATCATCTTTAATAATGTTCACCTCTTCAATACCAGCTGTATTATTCACAGCCAGTATTTTTTAGAGAACTCTGAAGTTTTTTATCATCATCTGTAGCTCTTCTGTATACCACCCTCTTTCTGTGAGCTGTACCCTTTCCCCCTATCCAGACCTGAGCCTGAAGTTTAGCTAACTTTTCTTGATTCATGCTGTTGGTAAATCTGAAGCAGGGAGAGTCCTCCAACACCAGCACATGGAAAGAACAAGATGGCTGCCTCAGCAAAGACAGAAAAAGACCTTTTTTTTTTTTTTTTAAAGAATTATTCATTTAGGGGCCTGCAGGTGGTGTGGTGGTTAAGAGTCCCACACAGCTAACCATGGTTCGAGTCGCAGACCTAGCGGCTTGCTTTCTCATTTTCTCTTTGTCTCTCTTGCTGTCTTTCTCACTCTCATTCTGTCCCTTTCAGGTCAAATTAAAATAAATTAAGTTAAATAATTCTTTTAAAAAAAGAATTATTATTCATTTAATTTTGAGTTGTTATTCAGTTTGGTCAGAGAGAGAGAAAGCACACCACCAGGTCCAGAACTCAAACTGCTGTCAGCCATTTGGGAGTTAAGTGCCTTATCCACTGTGACACCTGCTGGCCCCAAGGTTTACTCATTTTATTTTTTGTGGGTTATCAATCCCTCATCTGAAGCATAGTTTGCAAATATTTTCTCCCATTTTGTGGGTTGTCTTCTTCACCCTATTTATTGTTTCCTTTTCAGCTTTATGGAATTCTACTTTTCTATTTCTGGAATTGCCGTCTGCACTTTGTGGTCTTAAGACATTTTTCCTACTTTATGTCTTCAGTGTTTCCCCTGTGATATTCACAAGTAGTTTTTATAGTTTGAGGCTTTACATTTAGATCTTTGACTCATTGTTTAGCTGACCTTTGTTAATAGTGAGAGATGTGAGTTCAATTTCATTTTCTGCAGCTGGATATCCAGTTCTCCATTTGTGGAAGAAGCTTTCTTTTCCCACTGAATTGTCTTGTGCTCTTTATCAAAAATCAGTTGGCTGTATGTTTGGGGTTTATTTCTGGAATCTCTATTCTTTCCCACTGGCCTATATGTCTGTTTTTATGCCAGTACCATGCTGTTTTAATGATCATAGCTTTGTAATATATAAGGTCAGGTAGTGAGATGCATTCTACTTTATTCATTTTGCACAATAGTGCCTTGGTGATACAGGCTCTTTCATCATTCCAAATTTTGTGATTGTTTCTATTTCTGTGAAGAATGTCACTGGTAATTTGATTGAAATTGTACTGAATTTATAAATTGAGTAGAACTGACATTTTAATAATATTGATTCTTCCAAGAACAAGGGATGTCTTTATGATTTTTTGTATTATATTCAATTTCTTTTTCCAGTTTGTCAGTTTTTCTTGTAGCAGTCTTTCACCTCTTTGTTTAGATTTATTTCTGGGTATTTGTGTGTATGTAGTTACGGTAAATGGGATTGCTTTCTTCAATTGTGCCTCAGTCTGTTTATTGATGGGATATAAAAATGCTATATATTTTTGTATATTGATTTTATATCCTGCAACTTTACTGAATTCATTTATCACTTCAAGAAGGCTTTTCATAGTTTTTTTTATGTATATAATCATGTCATCTGAAAATAGGGATGATTTTTTTTCTTCCTTTCCTATTTGAATGTCTTTTATTTTATCTTCCTGTCTGTCTGTGTTGGCTAGGACTTCTAGCACTAAGTTGAAAAGGAGTAGAGAAAGTGGACAACCTTGTCTATAGTGGGAAAGTTTTCAGCTTTCCCCTTTCAGTATGATGTTAGCTATTTTACTCCACCTTTCCTTTCTTTCTTTTTTTATTTTTTTTTTTGGAGAG